AAAGAAAACTACAGATCAAAATGAGGGCTTCCCTAGTGACTCAGATGGTAAAGAGTCTGCATGCAATGCAGGAGACAGGGGTTCAAGCCCTGGATCAGGAAGATCCCCTGGAGAAGAGAATGGCAACCCATTCCAGTATTCTTGCCTAGAGAATTCTGTGGACAGAGGAGCCTGGTAGGCTATAATCCATGGGGTCACAAAGAGTTGGATATGACTGAGTGACTAACATTTTTATCATTGATGAACACACATGCAAAAATTCTCTGGAAAACACTAGCAAACTGAATCCAACAAAACATTAAAAGGATCATACCACGTGATCAAGTGGGACTTATCCAAGGAATACAAGGATTTATCAATATCTGCAAATCAGTGTGAGACAACACATTAACAAACTGAAAAATAAAAAAAAATATGATCATCTCAATAAATGCAAAAATTTTTTTGATAAAATTCAACACCCATTAATAATAAAATCTCTTCAGAAAGTGGGCAAAAAGGAAACAAACCACTATATTTCTCCTATTTATCTTTAATATATGTGCTATGGGAAGATCCCCTGCAGAAGGGAAGGACGACCCACTACAGTATTCTTGCCCAGAGAATCCCATGGACAGAGGAGCCTGGCAGGTTACAGTTCATGAGGTCGCAAAGAGTCAGACGCCACTGAAGAAATTTAGCATGCATGCACATGAAACCAAAATTTCGTGTTATTCTGGCATGTTAATAAGTCAGTTCAGTTCAGTTCAGTTAATAAGTGTAAGTACATGTTTAAAATCATATGAACTTACATCTGTATAGTGTTTTCTTTTTACCATGCACAGTTGTGGGCATTAGCCAACTGTATGGTCATAAGGCTGTGAGAGGGGCAGGGTATGATTAGTTTTCAGTGCTTCATCATCATTTTAAAGGTGAAGAAACAGTCTCATTAGATCACTGTCTCAAAGTCAATGTTTGCTTGTAGATTCTAAGCACAGTCTCTTTTGCCTGCACCACAGAGCATTTCTACGAATGACTCTATTAGGAAATGAAATACATGTTGAGCTGAACAATGGGAATGGAGAAGTGAGTTTGCACAATTACTGCTCTTTCCTGAAGTAGTAGTTGTCAGGTCTCTCATCCTTTCTAGTTAGCTCCTTTTACTTCATCTAATCATTCCTCAAACTCAGCAGGTATTACACTGAAGCAATAGAAAGAGCAATTAAAATATCTATTGCATATTTATGGTCAATTTATCTACTGTATACATTTTGAAATGTGTCATTATGAAAGATCTTAAAATAGAATTGCAAATATATATTTTCAGTATGACACAATTGCAGTTTTTAAAAGCTAAATTATACTTTTCCTGGTATGTGATTTTTTTGTTTGTGTTCATCATTAAACTATTTCTTTCCTACTCTGAAAGCTATTTTGCTACAAGGCCATTTCCTTTCTACTTTCATCCTCAGGGAAGTCATAATACCTGACTTAAATAGAAGCTGGTTACCATGGAAATCATTCTAATGCCCCAGAATCAATATTTTGATTTTGCTGACATTTAATGTAAAAAGAAAAGACAAACTAAGATTTATAAAAGTCACTCTTCATCTTTGTTATAATTCTGATAGCTAGAAAAATTGTAAAAAAAAAAAAACATATGCTCCGTAATGAAGTCCAGTTAACTCACAATTACAAAGAGTTGAGAATTCATAAAAGAATAATCTACATAGTTATATAATTTTGGCTTTGAGTACACACATATGAATGCATGCATTTGGACTCAAGATTTTTTTCCCATCTTTGAACTGAGCTCTGATTCTCTCCTGTTATTGAAGTCATACCTTGGTAAAAGAGATTTGAATATATCCAGTTCTGCAGTTGCCTTTTGATTAAGTGCTCCAAAGAGAAGCTGAAATTTGCATTGAAAAATCACTCTTCTATAAAAGTTGACCATTTCTGCACTGAATCTTAATAGTCCATCCGGTCCACTGACCATCCTCAAACAGGCACCACAGCTGAAGGCTCTTTAACCACCCTAGAAGCCCTTTAGAAGAGTGATGTTGAACTTCAACTTAGTGTTTAATAAGCCTTACTAACCATAAGGTATAGTGTCCCAAGTCTGAGATAAGCCTTTGCTACTGCTTTAATTTACTCACTGTCTTCTCTTCTGCCTCAGAAGTAATAAAGATAACAGACTTCCTGTCTTCTCTTTGATAATGAGCTATTTAGAGCCTTAGATCTTGAGATGGTGAAGGGATCTGAGAGACTTATGAGTTTTTCTATCTCAGGATTTAGCTACCTGAACATCTCAGATGAATGGTAATCAGTTCTGTCTTTAAGACAATTGAATTACCACTCAAATGTTTCTTCTGTGGGACAATCATAGTTTTCCACATGACCACTTTGAAGACCCCAAGCTCCCCTCCCCAGGGAGGGGACTATTTTGAGGTGTGTATGTTACACTGCTTCCAGAAGTGTTTCCAGCAGCGTTACCTAGCCTGATAACACATCCTTGACTGGCCGCTCACCTTGTCTGATTCCTTTTTGCCTCCCCTTCCAATAGTTCTTTTATCCCCCTTGATTCTTGAATCATTTTAGATTACACTCAGGCCCTCATCATTCAGAGACCATTGTTCTAAATCATAATCTGCTTTTGAAAACAATGCAATGTAATTGATTATGTAGTTTTCTGGCAGTACAAGTAAGAAGACGTGACTTCTGGAAATAACCTCATAGACTATAAAGAGAAATGAAAGGCATCAGGTATCAATATCAGGGAAAACTTAAGAACAATATTTAAAATTTACAGAATGCAGATCTCTAGAGCCTTTTAGTTCATTAACAAGTAAATTAAACACTATCTCTAAAACATCAGTATGTTACAAGTTGTAGGACATACTGATGACCTTGAATCATGAGAAAAAAAGACTCAGAATTCAAATCTGTTTCAAGGTAGAGGAACAAAAGAGTTACACAAACAGACACCCCCTCACACACACACACACACACACACACACACAACCCTTCATTGCAGTGTGATTGATTACAGCAGAACAGACTGGAACCAATCTGGTGTGTTGAGTATTAGTCGCTCAGTCGTGTCTGACTCTGAGGTCCCATGGGCTGTAGCCTGCCAGGCTCCTATGTCCATGGAATTCTTCAGGCAAGAATACTGGAGTGGGTTGCCATTCCCTTCTCCAGGGAATCTTCCTGACCCAGGGATTGAACCCGGGTCTCCTGCACTGCAGGTGGATTCTTTACCATCTGAGCCACCAGGGAAGCCCAACTAGGACTTCATCAAAGAGATAACAATTGCATAAAGTACCATGAAGTGCATGCCCTTCCTTAAAAACGGTGCTTCCCAACAAACAGAATGCCATGGACAATAATCACAAGGAAACAAGTGAAAATATAAAGCACAAAACTATGCACTAGGATTTCAATTTCATAAATATGCACAAATGCATATTATCCACACATATAATCTCACACACATACCCATAATTGTGATTATTTCTGACTCTATATGAAGTAGGAAAAACTGAGATTAACTGGATATTCTCCCTGAAGAAAGTATGGATTAGCTCAATCTCCAGGCAGTTATTTGTATTCTTCAATATTCTCTGAAGCTTTTGCTTTTTGGCTAAATATGCCCTTGGACACTGATACAGGTGAAAGGAGAGATGAGGATATTAGAAGAGATGGAATATGCTTCATGGGTAACCATACCGTAGGCTAGGTTTACGTTTCTGTGGGAGGATTAGACCACAAGATGAGGGAGCTTTTGTGAAGGACTGGAGAGCCTCAGTGGCAAAGAAACCTGCCAAGTTAAGGAAGGGACCAACTGGTGTCCAGTCTTTGTTACAAGCTACTGGGAAACTTGGAATACCAGGTGCTCAGGTGAGCCATTGGGGAAAGAATGTCAGGGAGAGACAGGGTAAGAGAAAGACCATGGGACCTGGGGGAGACGTGCTCTCAAGCCAGTCACAAGTCCAGTCAGCACTGGACGCCCTGAAGCATCTTCCACAACTGACACACAACCATCTGAATGCACCTGTACCAAAACTCACTTGGGACTACTCGCCCTCCAAGGGACTCTCAGGAAAATTTCAGGAAAGCTGAAACGGATTTATTCAAGCAAGGCTAAAGTACCAGTGAGATCTGGGGTTAATCTGACCTAATTTATAATTATAGACCAACAAAGAGACTAAGATATATTTGATTTATGTACTTCGTGGCTGAGAAAAAAAAACATAGATGTGGTAAAAACAGAAGACAGGGATTGAAGTAGAGGCTACAAATGTACATACATGCATGCATAAATTCAAATTCATTGAAAGTACACCAAAATGATTAAGAAATTATTATTTCTAAAGATGACTACGATTTTTCTTTTTTATATTTTCTGGCATTACAAAGCTCCTCCTTATGATTTCATGATGCGTGCAATTGTGCTAAGTTGCTCAGTCATGTCCCACTCTTTGCAACCCTATGGACTGCAGTCTGCCAGGCTCCTCTGTCCGGGGGATTCTCCAGGCAAGAATACTGGAGTGAGTTGCCATTCCCTACTCTAGGGGACCTTCCCCACCCAGGGATCCAACCTACCTCTCACCTCTTCTACACTGACAGGCGAGTTGTTTACCACTAGCACCTGGGAATCTCATGATACGGCTATAATTATACAAGTAACAGGAATAAAAGCAAGAAAATATAGATTTTAGATATACTGCTAGGCAAAATAATTTCCTAATGATTCAAAGCCCCTTAAAGGGGGCTAGAAAACTCACACCCTTTTTGGGTGATATAAATTAAATATATTGTGGAGGGTGTCATTTGGCAACACTCCAATGAACAACCACACCCCCCCCACCCACCCCGATTCTTCATTTTTAAGACTTAAGGTGTTGAAGAGACAAGATCATGTGACCCAGGGAGGAAGGCAGATGCTGGTGGGTATGCGGATCCGGACGCTTGGTGTGAAGACTCATTCTAGGTGAGATGGGCCTGGCCGGTTTTACCTTCGGTCCGCTCAGGGCCTTTCCCGCTCTTGCTGGCCACCGTACTGTTGACCGTCTCAGATGACGTGCTCAGCTTGGTACTGGGGTCCCGCTTGGGCTTGGGGGGTGGTTGTCTCCGAGAGGCACAGCTGCTGTCGTCGTCTGTGCCCCCAACCGAATGCAGTGACTGCGACCTGACAGAGAAGCCACTGGAGCAAGGATGGGGCAGCCGGTCCTGGGGCGCGGGCATTGTCATGAATCCCATGCGGAAATGTTTGCCCACGTAAGTTCCTTCGTGGCCTCGCCCCACTTCTCCACCTATGCTGTAAGAGAAAGATGAAACGGGAGCCAGGTGAGACAAGATGAGCAACGTCATGGGCACAAGTATATCTGTAACTGATGACAATTCACATTTTAACTTGAGGCTGGTAAAGAAACGTTTCCAACAGCACGAAAATATTCTATCCTTTTGCATTCAATATGATATTAAAGTGATATGATTTGACTGTAATCAGAAATTTTGCTATACTGGTATCCAGATACTCAAAAATTAGTATTCTGAAGGAAAAAAAAGCCCAAAACTACCACATAGAACATTTCATCTTCAATCCTCTTTCTTTACTTTCAGGTAAATCTTGTTAGATGCTTACTCCTTGGAAAAAAGCTATGACTAACCTAGACAGCATATTAAAAAACAGAGACATTACTTTGCCAACAAAGGTCCATCTAGTGAAGGCTATGGTTCTTCTAGTTGTCATGTATGGATGTGAGACTTGGACTATAAAGAAAGTTAAGCACCGAAGAATTGATGCTTTTGAACTATGGTGTTGGAGAAGACTCTTAAGAGTCCCTTGGACTGCAAGGAGATCAACCAGTCCATCCTAAAGGAGATCAGTCCTGGGTGTTTATTGGAAGGACTGATGTTGAAGCTGAAACTCCAGTGCTTTGGCCACTTGATGCCAAGAGCTGACTCATTTGAAAAGATCCTGATCCTGGGAAAGATTGAGGGCAGGAGGAGAAGGGGACGACAGAGTATGAGATGGGTGGACGGCATCACCAACCCAATGGACATAAATTTGGGTAAACTCTGGGAGTTGGTGATGGACAGAGAGGCCTGTCGCAAAGAGTTGGACATGACTGAGTGATTTTCACTCACTTCACTTATATATACTAGTACATCTATGTTGTAGACTGCCCTTTGACACATGACTGAGGCAGCATTTGAAACTTTCCAACTTCACAAGATCATGCCTACTTTTACCTAATTAACATAGAGGGTACAACAAAACAAACAGCAATGACAAAGGGGGTTCTGTTATGAATACAAGGGGGGAGACAGACAGGAAGGGGTGAGGAAGTGAAGGAAGGAAGGACGGAAGAAAGGAAGAAAGAAAGAAAGGATGGGGAAATACTTGCTTAAATCAGTAAAATAATGGTCAATCTCTCTTCAGTTTCCAGAATCCATTGGTTACACTAGTAACTTAGTTCTACTAATAAATTTTTTTTATTGAGAAATTTTATTATTTAGAGATCATACTTGTTTTTTTTTCATTTATTTTTATTAGTTGGAGGCTAATTACTTTACATCATTGTAGTGGTTTTTGTCATACATTGACATGAATCAGCCATGGATTTACATGTGTTCCCCATCCCAATCCCCTCTCCCACCTCCCTCTCCACCCGATCCCTCTGGGTCTTCCTAGTGCACCAGGTCCGAGTGCTTGTCTCATGCATCCAACCTGGGCTGGTGATCTGTTTCACCCTAGATAATATACATGTTTCATAGAGCAGCTGGGAGCGGCTGAGAGGAGCTACCCCACGTCCAAGGTTAGGGCGGTGGCTGCGCTTTGCTGGAGCAGCCGTGAAGAGATACCCCCAGTCCAAGGTAAGAGAAATCCAAGTAAGACAGTAGGCACTGAGAGAGGGCATCAGAGGACAGACAGACTGAAACCACAATCACAGACAACTAGCCAATCTGAGCATATGGACCACAGCTTATCTAACTCAGTGAAACTAAGCCATGCCGTGTGGGGCCACCCAAGCCGGATGGGTCATGGTGGAGAGGTCTGACAGAATGTGGTCCCCTGGAGATGGGAATGGCAAACCACTTCAGTATTCTTGCCTTGAGAACCCCATGAGCAGCATGAAAAGGCAAAAAGATAAGACACTGAAAGATGAACTCCCCAGGTCAGTAGGTGCCCAATATGCTACTGGAGATCAGTGGAGAAATAACTCCAGAAAGAATGAAGGGATGGAGCCAAAGCAAAAACAACACCTAGATGTGGATGGGACTGATGATAGAAGCAAGGTTCAATGCTGTAAAGAGCAATATTGCAGGGAAACCTGGAATGTTAGGTCCATGAGTCAAGCCAAATTGGAAGTAGTCAAACAGATGGCAAGAGTGAACTTTGACATTCTAGGAATCAGTGAACTAAGATGGACTGGAATGAGTGAATTTAACTCAGATGACCATTATATCTACTACTGTGGGCAGGAATCCCTTAGAAGAAATGGAGTAGCCATCATAGTCAACAAAAGAGTCTGAAATGCAGTACTTGGATGCAATCTCAAAACTGACAGAATGATCTCTGTTTGTTTCCAAGGCAAACGATTCAATATCACGGTAATTCAAGTCTATGCCCTGACCAGTAATGCTGAAGAAGCTGAAGTTGAACAGTTCTATGAAGACCTAAAAGAGCTTTTAAAACTAACACCCAAAAAAGATGTCCTTTTCATTATAGGCCACTGGAATGCAAAAAAGTAGGAAGTCAAGTGATTCCTGGAGTAACAGGCAAATTTGGCCTTGGAGTACAAAATGAAGCAGGGCAAAGCTAACAGAGTTTTGCCAAGAGAATGCACTGGTCAAAGCAAACACCCTCTTCCAACAACACAAGAGAAGACTCTACACATGGACATCATCAGATGGTCAACACCAAAATCAGATTGATTATATTCTTTGCAGCCAAAGATGGAGAAGCTGTATACAGTCAGCAAAAACAAGACCAGGAGCTGACTGTGGCTCAGATCATGAACTCCTTTTTTCCCAAATTGAGACTTAAATTGAAGAAAGTGGGGAAAACCACTAGACCATTCAGGTATGACCTAAATCAAATCCCTTATGATTATACAGTGTAAGTGACAAATAGATTTAAGGGACTAGATCTGATAGACAGAGTGCCTGACGAACTATGGATGGAGGTTCGTGACATTGTACAGGAGACAGGGATCAAGACAATCCCCAAGAAAAAGAAATGCAAAAAAGCAAAATGGCTGTCTAAGGAGGCCTTACCAATAGCTGTGAAAAGAAGAGAAGGGAAAAGCAAAGGAGAAAAGGAAAGATATACCCATTTGAACGTCAAGTTCCAAAGAAGAGCAAGGAGAGATAAGAAAGCCTTCCTCAGGATCAATACAAAGAAATACAGGAAAACAATAGAAGGGGAAAGAGTAGAGATCTCTTCAAGAAGATTAGAGATGCAAAGGGAATATTTCATGAAAAGATGGGCTCAATAAAGGACAGGATTAGTATGGACTTAACAGAAGCAGAGGATATTAAGAAGAGGTAGCAAGATTACACAGAACTATACAAAAAAGATCTTCACAACCCAGATAATCACAATGGTGTGATCACTCACCTAGAGCCAGAAATCCTGGAATGTGAAGTCAAGTGGGCCTTAGGAAGTATCACTACGAACAAAGCAAGTGATGATGGAATTCCAGTTCAGCTATTTCAAATCCTGAAAGATGATGCTGTGAAAGTGTTGCACTCAATATGTCAGCAAATTTTGAAAACTCAGCAGTGGCCACAGGACTTTACAAGGTCAGTTTTCATTCCAACCCCAAAGAAAGGCAATGCCAAAGAATGCTGAAACTACTGCACAATTACACTCATCTCACACGCTAGTAAAGTAATGCTCAAAATTCTCCAAGCCAGGCTTCAGCAACACCTGAACTGTCAACTTCCAGATGTTCAAGCTGGTTTTAGAAAAGGCAGAAGAACTAGAGATCAAATTGCCAACATTCACTGGATCATTGAAAAAGCAAGAGAATTCCAGAAAAACATCGATTTCTGCTTTATTGACTATGCCAAAGTCTTTGACTGTGTGGGTCACAATAAACTGTGGAAAATTCTGAAAGAGATGGGAATACCAGACCACCTGACCTGCCTCTTGAGAAACCTGTATGCAGGTCAGGAAGCAACAGTTAGAACTGGACATGGAACAACAGACTGGTTCCAAATAGGAAAAGTAGTACGTCAAGGCTGTATATTGTCACCCTGCTTATTTAACTTATATGGAGAGTACATCATGAGAAACACTGGGCTGGAAGAAGCACAAGCTGGAATCAAGATTGCTGGGAGAAATATCAATGACCTCAGATATGCAGATGACACCACCCTTATGACAGAACGTGAAGAAGAATTAAAGAGCGTCTTGATGGAAGTGAAAGAGGAGAGTGAAAAAGTTGGCTTAAAGCTCAACATTCAGAAAACTAAGATCATGGCATCTGGTCCCATCACTTCATGGGAAATAGATGGTGAGACAGTGGAAACAGTGTCAGACTTTATTTTTTGGGGCTCCAAAATCACTGCAGATGGTGATTGCAGTCGTGAAATTAAAAGATGCTTACTCCTTGGAAGGAAAGTTATAACCAACCTAGACAACATATTAAAAAGCAGAGGCATTACTCTGCCAACAAAGGTCTGTCTTGTCAAGGCTATGGTTTTTCCAGTGGCCATGTATGGATGTGAAAGTTGGACTGTGAGGAAAGCTGAGCACCAAAAAATGGATGCTTTTGAACTATGGTGTTGGAGAAGACTCTTGAGAGCCCTTCAACTGCAAGGAGATCCAACCAGTGCATCCTAAAGGAGATCAGCCCTGGGTGTTCATTGGAAGAACTGATGCTGAAACTGAAACTACAATACTTTGGCCACCTCATGCGAAGAGTTGACTCATTGGAAAAGACCCTGATGCTGGGAGGGATTGGGGGCAGGAGGAGAAGGGGATGACAGAGGATGAGATGGCTGGATGGCATCACTGACTCGATGGGCATGAGTTTGAGTAAATTCTGGGAGATGATGATGGACAGGGAGGCCTGGCTTGCTGCGATTCATGGGGTTGCAAAGAGTTGGACACAACTGAGCAACTGAACTGATGAAGTATAAAAAGTATCTTTGAGCATATGAATTTTGGAAGCCTCCTGAATCTACCTTTCCAAACATAAGCTTATTTGTGCCTTTTAAAAATTTATTTCTTTAAATTTCATTTATTTATTCATTTATTCTGGTTGTGCCATGTGGCATGCAGAATCTTATTTCTCTCACCAG